TTTATACAGAAACAGTATTTTAAGAACTAGCCTGCTGTGGCTTTAGGATACATGTTTGCTGTGTTGACCTCTTTAGTTCTACAACTTTTGTTTACATTAACAGTCGTTGAAATAATGACGTATTTGATGATGACATTATCCCCACAGCAGTTCCCCTGACTCTTATGAACGGTTGTTGAAATGTTTTTACTTGTGGTCAAACAGGGAGTTGTTTTTTCAGGTAATGAGCCACAATAATTGACTGTATGTTTCAGCAAGTAGCCTGTGAAAACAGGCCGAGGAGCTCGAGGGACACATTTAACCTCTGCGAGTTAAGGAAGGGCAAAATATTGCGTTTGGAACCAGAAATGTGAGTTCACAGTGATGTAAGTCTGTCAGGTGTCACGACAGTGAACTTGTGTAATAATTCCTGTTGTCAAAGAGGGTTCTCAGTTTAGACTGGACCACAGGCTGGAGAGCAAATCATCGGAAAATGAGTCAGACCTCTGCGAGTTAAGGAAGGGCAAAATATTGCGTTTGGAACCAGAAATGTGAGTTCACAGTGATGTAAGTCTGTCAGGTGTCACGACAGTGAACTTGTGTAATAATTCCTGTTGTCAAAGAGGGTTCTCAGTTTCAAAGCTGCGCAAGTAGACTGGACCACAGGCTGGAGAGCAAATCATCGGAAAATGAGTCAGGTAGTTTTTGCTCAATTTACAAGTCCACTGAAAATTACCTGGAGAGTTTATGATCTTCAATAATGTTTTAAGTATTTCGTCATAAAATATTGGGACACGTTGAAGGAGGCTGTGCAACCACATGGATACTTTTATTGCTTTTTACACAAGTAAACAAAGCTTTATAGTACGTCCACCGCCTCCATTTAGTGTGTCATTCACACAAACTGAAATAATATACACCAAATGTTAAATGTTAGTAGAATGATCATCGGAAAATGAGTCAGGTTTTTTTTGCTCAATTTACAAGTCCACTGAAAATTACCTGGAGAGTTTATGATCTTCAATAATGTTTTAAGTATTTCGTCATAAAATATTGGGACACGTTGAAGGAGGCTGTGCAACCACATGGATACTTTTATTGCTTTTTACACAAGTAAACAAAGCTTTATAGTACGTCCACCGCCTCCATTTAGTGTGTCATTCACACAAACTGAAATAATATACACCAAATGTTAAATGTTAGTAGAATGCTTACCTATACAGCAAGTAGATTACTGGTTCGATTCCCTTTTTGTATGGAATTGGCAAGTTTTTTCCATTTGTGTTTTCAAGTTTTTCCACAATCCAAAAATATGCATTTTAGGGTAGAAAATTAATTACACACTTTAACCTGTCAATAGGTACGTAGATAATGTGAGTGTGATGGTTGTTTGTCTCTACATGGCCCCACAGTAGACTGGTGAACTGTCTATGGTCTTCTCTCGCCCTCACCAGTTGACAGTGGGTATTGACTCCAAGCTGCCCCTTGACCTTGCCAGGGATTAAGCGATAATAAATGAATTAAATATATATTATTAGGCCACATGGTGGCAGAGTGGTTGGAGCGCTTGCCTTCCAAGAAGGAAGATACAGTAAGTTGTCTTCAAGTGTGAGTGGGTTTTCTTCATGAGTGGAAAGCCTACCTCACACCCATGTTCATCACTCTCATATCCAGTATGTGGTCAGTTTAAAGGGTTTTGGACCGGTCAGTATTAAGGATGGATCTTCTGTTTCCCTGTCATATAATATTAGATAATATCAAATAAACCATTAGTATTTGTGTCTCATTGACATTTCTGGCTCATTTAACTTTATTTACTGCTCCTTTGCGTTAGTATCAGGGCTTTATTTGTGGTGTGCACGGTGGAAAACATTTGCAGACTGAGCATAAAATTTGGCTGCTGAGATTGTCCTGCTGTTTCAACGCTAACTACTGTATTTATGAATAATAAAATGTTACAGAGTCCGCGGAGAAAGATAGCTATTAAAGAAATCTGGGTTGCTGAATCTGTTTGTTTTTATACAACCTGTTTATCTGGCATCGAGGGGTCGTCGACTCCCAGCATCAGATGGGCTGTGAATAAGCATTTCAGGACCGCTGTGATTTAATTGAATAGTTGGAATAAACAAGATCCACACCAGAGATTGGTCTCTCGTAGAACATCAGCACTGTATAAAAATCACTAAAACACTGTTCAATCAATCAGTGTCCCAACATCAGGGCAATTTTTTTCTTTATTAAGAAGTGAAACTGAAACTAAAATTTAAAAAAGTAGAAAATGACAGGCGGAAATATTTGTTTGTTTTTTTGCAAAATCAGATGATGTAGTCCTCCTAACTCACCTGCAGGGGTGCTGTTCAATGCTTTGGTCCCTGAGTTTAATGTGCTGGTAAAACATGATCATAAATAAATCTTCTGCCAGTTAACACCTGTGCTCTCTTCTAGTCTCTTCAAAAATAAAAACCCAAATAAAAAACACCATGTCATCACAGTTTACCATTTTTTTTCTTTTTCTTTTGAACAACTTTCTAAAAAGTAATAAACATTTATTAATTCAACCCTTCAACCATTCACGCTCACACTCAGATGAGTGGTCAGTGAAGACGGTCCAAATAACATAAACCTGTTTGTTTTGGATCTTTTAATATTTTACTAGAGATGCCAAAGAATTATTATTGATCAATCACATTTTAGCTGCGATTGATTAATCGAGATCAAACTCAATCAATCATTATTGATCAAGAAAAGTCACAAAACTGCAAAAATTGAGTTACGCTGCACAGTAGAAATGGATCTCCGAGGACTCCTTGTAGTTCTATGTATTACATGATGTGTCCTGACACCAGAGGCTCGGTTCAGTTACAAAGTGCATCATCTCTTTAAAGCAGAGGTGAAACGACTCTCGGTGTCAGATGTGGCTGCGTGTTCTTACATGTGTGAATGGTTTTTTGGTCACTTTCTCTGACATTGAAGTGCAGTCAGTCATCACAGGAAGTCGCAGATCGCAAAAAAAAAAAAAAAAAATCAAAGAGGAGACCAGAGATGTGGAGGAGTGATGCAATTATTCAAAGAGGAGCCCCAGTGCGGGAGCACAAAACACCAGAGATCTGCCTGTGAACGAACTCATTAAAAAGTGATGAAACTGCCACCAGATCGTTCATGTCATTCTCTACTTTTCATGGAGATTTATGTTTGTATCAAAAGCAACATCACAAAGAACGATTTTTTTTTTCAAACTGAAGCCTGACACTTCATCACAGTGGCCCTGGTTTTCACTCCAGTGTGCACTCACCCGTTTCCCCCCTTTGAGCGCCCTCTCCTCAAACAGTCTGTGAATCGTCAGTGGAGGTCCTGCTGGAAAGACGCCCTGTCCCTCCTGATTCAGCCATCTGTTGGAGCACAGTCCAGTATTCACTCCTTCCATATACTAATCCTTTCATTAGCCCTGGCTCCTGGCAGCCCGCTGTAAAAGAGCTGACTGTGTGGGAAGTGAAGGGAGACCAGGTCTGATACACTGATACATTTACAGATAGGAACTGGAGTCAAAAACCATCAAAAACATCTTACCTGGAAAAAAAACCCAAATCTGCCTGCTCATGTTTGTGAATTCAAATGTCCTTCCTTTTTTAAACATGTTTTTCACTTTACATAAAAAAAGATTTTATAGATTATTTGTTATCTGTAATAATTATGAACTTGTGGTCAGGAGTTTTGTTTTATTTTAACACAGGTTTTTCCACTAGTTGTGACAGGATTAGAAATGAGCAGCTCAGGAGATTTATGGACACTGGGAAAGTGAACATAAAGTCTAGAGGTGTCGCAGTGGAGTAGGAACCTGATAGGGTTTGGTTCAGGCTGATGGTTTTCTGAGGGAAGTGGTTAGATGAAAAGGAAATAGAAAAAGGAGACTTAAAAAAACAACAAGTACTTCAGAAGTTACATGGCAGAAAATCTTCATTTTTTGTTGTACATTTATTAATTTTTTTTTCAAATTCAGAAAAGCTGATTAACTGAATTACAATTACAGTTCATTTTGTCTCAGTCCGTTGACCTCTTGACCTGTCACAGGCATTAAGTTAACACTGAATTTGTTTCCTGTTACCTCCAAACGTATGTGAATTAGCCACTGATCTTGCTAACACGGCAACACTGCACTCAAATGCATCACAGTGTGAAGTACAACTGATTTGCCTTTTTTCCAAGGACAGTAAAGGCATCACTGACTTCATCCAGCTCCTGATCTGTTAGCTTAGCTTCCACCTGTTTCTTAAACCACGTGCAGAAAGAGTGACAGGTCATCAACATCAATGAGAACTTTTCTTTTCTCTATTGATCTACCATAATCTACAATAATAATTTAAATTATTAAAAACGCTGAGTGTGTTTTAATACTGGACACCCTCACCGTTCTTATGAATTAAAATCTCATGTTGTTTTTTCTGCTCCCATACTGTGGCATGCAAATTGTGGGACAAATAATGGTGTTCTTAATCTTAATAGTGAAAGTTTGAAGCCTGGTTTTTAAATAACCCACTGAGAGGCAATTAAATCCAGTCATGCTTTCTTTCTTCCAGTTATTAAAAAGACTCCACGACGAACGGAGCGCTTCGAAATAATGAACCACAGTCGACGTTCTCCAGCAGAAACTCTGGTTAAATAAAAGTCCTGATGTGTGACACTTGGTTTACCACCTCCGTTGTTCTCCTGCACGTAGTCCTAGTTTCTCTGCTCTGCATCTGCTCGACATGAACTCACTACACTTACAAACACAAAGCCTCTGTTCTCTGCCTCGAGAGTCAGGCACATTGGTGACAACATTGTTTTCCAGAAAGCCTCGTCCAGGGAAATGCTTGGTTTGGCAGAGGCACTGAAGGCTTTTTTCCATCCGAAGGCTCCATGTTAATTCACATCATGTTGGTTAGAGTTGTGATGGAGTCGGTGGAGGGTGAACATGTTAACATGGATCATCGTGCCACTGACTAATGACCTGTTTTTCTCTCTTCTGTTTTATTCTATGGTAGAAAAACACCGTGAAGAAACACTGGCTGCTGACAGAGGGTTTGCCCTCTGGTGGAATATAAACATACTGTGTGGTTAGAGGTCACAGAGGAGCAGACAGACGACCGACCTTATAGAGTGACTCGACACATGCCAGAAGATGAGTCACAGGTGAGGGGTAGATGATGGAGCGGCAGCTGAGACCGTCTGGAGGATCATGAAGCTAATTGAAGCAGCAAACTGGGAAAAATAAAGTTGACCTCGGTGTATTTATTTGACCAGTCGCCGTCTTGGGCAACAGAAGAAGAGAAGCAATGACCTAATTCACTGTGCCTGACCTCATACTGATAAGTCGTCCGCCTCCTCATCGGGTGATGGAATGTAATCAGAAATGGACTCTTATCATCGATGCCGGGGTGTGTGAGGTGACCTGATATTTTCTCGGTGTACGTGTGTGTGGACGACTGTTAAAGTCAGGGGTTTGAGGTCTCGACGCCACATGCAGCAATGTTACGGCGCGGCCTGCTGACCTGGGTCTCCCGTGTTGGAGGCGTGCTGGTTTTCCTTTGCTGCTCCCTGTCACTGCTCTACGTGATGACCTGTAGCCCCCCACAGTCCGACGAGCCGCCCCTGGGTCACGCCTTACCCCGCCGTGGGTCAAACCACCCCAGTCTGGGGGGCACTGGTCCAGGGATCGGAACAGGAGCGGGTGGAACAGGGGGAGGCGGAGGCGCACCTGCTCAGAGTGGCGGGTCACCAGGTGTTCAGTCGTATCAGGTGCTCCTCCAGGAGCGTGAGGAGCAGCATCGCCACTACATCTCCTCCTTGAAGAAAGAGATCGCTCAGCTGAAGGAAGCCTTGCAGGAGCGGAGCCAGCAGCTGAAAGGAGTTCAGGAGAGTCTGAAAAGAGGTTCCGGGGGCCCCGCCGAGGGACAGGAAGCTGGGATCGCTCCCCAGGGAGGTGGTCCTGGAGAGACCCATGGAGCCAGGAGCCAACAGGCTGATATCCAGGAGTTTTTGAGGAGCCAGCTCTCCAAGGCTGAGGTGACTGCTGGCATCAGGCTGCCGAGTGAATATGCAGTGGTGCCGTTTGAAAGCTTCACCCTTCAGAGAGTGTACCAGCTGGAGATGGGGCTGACGCGTCACCCGGAGGAGAAACCGGTGAGGAAGGACAAGAGAGAGGAGCTAGGGGAGGTGCTGGAGACGGCTCTGCTCAGCCTGAACACCCCTTCGACCCAGAGAGGTGCAGCGGAGAAGACACAGACCAGCAAAGTTTATGCTCCATCTGATTTCATAGAAGGTGAGAACTTTCAGAATTCTATCCCAGGTCTGTCACACTGATCATACTGGAGCTACAGAGAGACTTCAGTGACACAGTTCTGACTGAAGGGCAGATAATTACCCTGACTGTGAACTCCCCTGCAGGCTCAAATGGGTGGAGTAATTTTTTTAAAAAGTACAAAATGAGAGCCCTATAAAATTTCATTTTCCCATTACTCATCAGCCATGTTGTCATAATTACCAATTACTAATATTTATTATATTGTGAAAGAATCATGTTTTCCAAGGAAAAATATCTCACAGTGGAACCTATCATTCGGTACTGAAACAGTTTAAAAATCACAAATGGGAAAAAATGAGCCTGAGTCTCCATGGAAACTGCATGTCGTTCCCAGAGAGCACTTGTTGATGATTCAGGATTTTTTAGTCTTTTAAGCGAAGATGATTTTTGAAAGTAGATCACGCAATACTGCTATATCACCTTGGAGGTCAAAGGTCACTCACATTCAGCAGCATTTCTCACTCTCAACGCCCAGAGGTTTTCCTTAAATGTTTTTACACTTAATTTAGTTTAAGTTCTTTTTTACCTCTTGCTGAGATTTTCTTTTTCCATTTTTAAATCACTGACAATTATTTAAGCACGACCTTCACTTAACTACAAATGATGGTTTAACAGACTCATAATAATTGAAAACCCTCCCGGACCTGTGTCATAACCTGGAGCTTGTAGTATTTTCAACTTAATTTGACCAATAAATAAAATTTAAAAAATCAGTTCTGTTTTAATTACCAAACTTGATTGGATCCATCATTTGTGGCTTAGCAAAGTAAAGGTTAGAGATAATTAAAGTTAAGGCTTTACTGCATGTAAATATGCTGCAAAATTACACTTTCTCCACCAGAATCTTACTTCGACAAATCTTTTTTTTTTTTTGGTTTTCTTTAATCCAGTTCTAATTCACATTCACAGACCTGGAAAACTGTTTGTGTTTTTCCGGACGTGCACAGTCAGGATTTCCTCGTGGACCATTTTACTCAGCTCTCATCACAACCTCAGAAAATGAACACAGCTGCTCCTCGTTCACCGCGGAGCATCTCTTCCAATGTGGTATAACGCTGTGTGTGTGTGTGTGTGTGTGTGTGTTTGAAGTTGGTCTTCTGGTCTGTGAGCGGCTGGAGGTTTTAAAGTGAGTAATCGGGGCACCTGGCTCCGAGGAAATGAGCCGTGTACTAGGTCACTTTGCGCGGTGCCTCGTACGTCTCCACACGTGTGTGGTCTAAGTGTGTGTGTGTGTGTGTTTACGTTATGGTGATCCATGATGCATTTGTGTACGTTTACGTATGTAAACTGGCTCTCAGAAAGCGGATCAGGTCGGCGGGAAAGTGCTGTGACTTCTCCCTGCTCAGAGTTCCCGCTTGTTAATGGAACTAGCGATTGATTTTTGAGGTAAATCTTGAAAAGTGCAGCGTTTTATTCAACATTCAGACGAGAGAGAGAGGCAGCCTGGATGTCTATCAAGGCTCCATTCACAGGCCATTTAGCTGGAACTGCACACAAACACTGGAGGTATACAAAATGAACTTGCCAACCATTGATTTCTGTCTCTACAATAGGAACTCAGAAAAAGGGACAGAAAGGCAGAGAAACCAGACGCAAAGTCATTCAAACTGAGTGGTGTCTTATCGTACGGTATCGTAGCCTCCCATCACAGGAAGCTGGGTGACTAAACAGGGAAGCTTTTAGAAATTCTTTACCCACAAATATCTTTCTGTTCTAACTCTGTCGTGGGATCACGCTCTCTCTCTCTCTCTCTCTCTCTCTCTCTCCACTAGTTTCCTTTCATGGTCTCCTGGTGGGTTTTCCCACCAAATCTAAGGAGTCAGTCTGTGAGAAATAACTGAAGTAAAAATGATGTAACAATAAAACAGCTTTTTTATCTGCGGAAAGAAACTGAGACAAATAATTCAACAACAAGAAGCAGCCTGTTGTCGGTGTATGTATGTGCAGCTGTGGCTCTCTGCCCAGCAGCAGCAGCAGCAGCAGCAGCTCATGTTCCCTCATGTTTCCCCTCTCCATTTCTGTTTTCCCACACTTATCCAGAGGATGGACGACTTCTGCACAGAGAAGTGGAGTAATTTCCCCTGGAAGTTTTATTTTGGTTATTTTTAAATTTAGTTATTGCCTTATAAATATTTTTTTCCCTCTGCAATTCAGATAAAGAAATCTTCTGGGATTTTTTTTTTTTTTTACTTTTTTTTTTCTCGTGAGAACACAGGGAAAAGCAGAAAACAAAATATGCGAACCCAAAAACCTCAGGCTTGAGCCGTCAGTGTGACAGCATCATGACAGGAGAAGGAATATCTTTTGAACTGGAGAAAATTGTCGACGCTCAGAGAACAGAAACACCTTCTGCTGCCGAACATCTGTTGAAGAAGGACCTAGAAAAAGTTCATAAAACGAAAAAAAATTTCAAAAAAAATTCTTTTTTTTTTTTTGTTCATAAAACGCCATTCTTTATAAGAAAATAATGAAATCATATTCAGCCATAAAAAACAATAAAATGAGTGGCTCAGTGCAAAAAGGCAGTATTTATTTATTTATTACAATACACTTTTGAAAATAATGCAATGAAATCATATTCAGCCATAAAAAACAATAACCATCGAATGCATGATATGGAAGTGTTACTTCTTTTATATATAATATTTATGAGAAATATATACAAATTCTGGCTGTTTTAAATAGTGCAGACTCATCAGTACTGAAGCATTAAGTAGTATTTTAAACAACTGTTTTTCTACTGTATTGCAGTAACATATTTTGACACTAAGACAAAAGTTTTGGTCATGGCATTTTTTTTTAGATATTTTTTCTGTATGCAGTCTAAAAAAGTGGTGCCCAACCCCCGGTACAGGGACCGGTGCCGGTCCGTAGGTCACTTGGTACCGGATCGCAGTGGGCCACGGTGAAAGAATGTGCTTCAGTTTTACTAATCTACTTCATCCAAAATGAATCCAGTCATATCCCTTTACTTTTTATGTTTCAAAACAACAGGTCATTCAGACAAAATAAAGTCTAAAAGATCTTTGATTTTGAAAATGTAATGATCCTTCAACGATGACGCGGTGTTACTGGTCTGCAGTACCGGCTGATACCGGTCGTTCGGTCCATGGTACAAAAAGGTTGGGGACCGCTTGGTCTAAAACACTAATGTCTCTGTCTCCCACTGACCCACTGTCTTCTGTGTGCCGTTGTCCAGGTATCAGACGTACAGAGAGGGACAAAGGGACGCTGTACGAGCTCACCTTCAGAGGCGAGTCCACCCATGAATTCAGGCGCCTGGTCCTGTTCCGCCCCTTTGGACCTCTGATGAAGGTGAAGAACGACCGGGTGGACACGGCCAACGTGCCCATCAACATCATCGTCCCGCTGTCCAGACGTACGGACAAGTTCAAGCAGTTCATGCAAAACTTTAGGTGAGTGTCGGTAACACAAACACTGAGACACAAACACAGGAAGTGGAATTAATTACTGGTAGCCGTTTCTTTTTCCACGCGTGAATAGCGGAGGAAATGTGACACGCTGTTTTGATTCCTGCTTTGCATTTTAATTGGGGATCATGCAGATAGAGAGAGAAAATGTGGAGGATTAAAAAAAGATGGAGAAAATTAACATTTGGGAAGACATTTGTCCTCTCCTGAAGTTGCACGTAATCACCATTTTAAAATTCCGTCTGTTGTGGTGTTATCATTTAATTTATTTTGCTGCAATACAATACAAATCACCTGGGAAGGAATTAGGGGAACAAAGCTGGTCTGGCAGCTCTGTCTAATGACAGCAGAGGAGTTCATGAGCTCTTTGAACGCATCACAGGTTTTCAATCAGCAGTTCATGAGCTCTTTGAACGCATCACAAACAGGACCTTTGGAGTTAAAAGTAGCGCAAAGCTTTGACTTCCTGTCGATGCATTTAAGTCCAATCACGGGCTCATAGAACTCCTCGTCCAACAGCCAACGGTGTCTTTTTTTTCCGCGCCACAGTTCATCAGCGTCAGTTGAGGAAACGTATCTTTTTAATGTCAGTTATTTATTGTGCCCCCGCTGCTGCTTATCACAGCTGTTTATACATGGTAAATCCTGCTTAGTAGCACAGTCGAGGCCCATTAAAAGCCCCCCCCCCCCCCCCCCCCCCCCCCGGGGGGGGGCCGGGCGCGGGTATAAACGAAACACAGAAGGGGCTATAGCATAAAACG